TTTAAAAAAATGTTTATTTATATCTTTCTATGACAAACAATTCATTTGATTTTATAACCATTTCTTGGGACACTTTTTGTACATTTTTGTTTTTATGTACTCATCAATTAATATTATGAAATCATTCGTCCTAAAGCTAAACTCTCACAGATTGACAGACTAGACAGTTTTTTTGCCTTTTTTTCTCAGAATCAACTGATTTTGGCAGCAGTTCCTTCAGTTTTAAGCTGACACTGTGAACAAGAACCTGGGCCTATTCATAAAGCATATCTTAGTGAATAATTTCAACTTAATTAGTGAAAAAAAGACATTTTTTTTGACAAGTTTGAATTTAAAAAATCTAACGTGTGTACAAAATTAGTTTGAAAATAGGCAAGAAAATGTCCTAATTAATAGAAATCAATAAAAATGTTGTGGGATGATCCACAGGGTATTGGAAATAAGCCATGTCAAAATTTAAGAACTTTTCAAGAGGATGAAATATTTTAATAAGAAGTTTTTATGGCCAAAGAACTTTGAAACAATGTTGAACAACTGTTCTATTTTATAATTATTTTGTTGATGAATAAAAAAAAATTCTATAACCATTGATTTGGAAATGTGCAACTTGTCATTGTCAGCTGGACTACAGAGTTCATTAATAAATATAAAAAATGGTTAAATCGTTTTGTATATTTCCTCCATGAGTGCAAATGGAAATTTTAAAACAAAGGGACGTAACTTGGTAAACTGAATCCGAACCGCAATACGGACTTTACCGAGAATATAACTGTAGCGCCACCTGTTAGCATAATTTGGGTGTCACATATATTACACCAGATGTCGCGTTGTATTATGCTTGCTGCATTCGGCTTTCGGCTATGCACATTCTACCTTATGACATATTCGTCATTCAAGCTGAGTAAATAGACCCAAATACAAACAGTTGCAGGTTAATTTATTGAATTAATATACCAGATCAACAAATGAATAATAATTGATCGTTAAATAACGACATCAACATAAAGTTAAGCAAGTCGCACACAGCAGAAAGCATAATGTGCATGTAAGAAAGCAACATGTAAAAGTCAGAATGCAAGATGTATATGTCAGAATGCATTATGTACAAGTTAGAAAGCACGATGTACAAGTTAGAAAGCACGATGTAATTTTGGCATAAATCACCCTCCATAGTAAATAACTGCTTATTATTCAGAAATAAATATTGGTGAATTACCTTAGTATAAATGGTGATTTAAAGGTAAATATCGTACAGATTATAATTATCAATCTGTTTTATTGTTGTTATTATCATTTTATAAATACGACCTACAAAACTGTTATGGATTGTGTGGGTTATTCGTACATTGAACATTATTAATTTATATGGGAGAAGAAAATGAAAGGAGCATTGTCAGTAGACACAACATACAGTAATAATAAGGAGAACTAGGCCTAGTATTGAATCTACATAATATAATATTAGTGTATATTAGTTGAAATTTTAACATTTTAGAACCTGAAAGAAGGCGACCGGGGGAGAGAGACCATGGGTTTTTGTTAAAATGTTCACTAAATAAAAACTAACTTACTTATTGTTTAACCACATTTGACCTCGCTGTAACGTCTCCGGCCTATAAAAAGTTGTTTAGAAATAATAGTTGGAGTTTAGGGAACACATTTTATCCATCATTTACGCCATTCAATATACAAATAAACAGCAAAGGTACGTAAGTCTTCCGAGAGAGTACACGTTATTTACTTTGCTGACGTTCTTCAATGTTCCAATTTTCTGAAAATATTGGACGTGAATGGTTTTTGTGATATCAAGATTGCACCTTTTCTGATCTCCGGTAAATAACTGAACTGATGGTAAAACTGAACACCTGACCAGACGAAGAAAGAAGGAAGGATTATATCACGGAAAAATGCACTGTTTTTTTCCCGAAACCTGCTGAAACCCGAAAGCTATTAGCATTTGCCACCAACACTGGACCAGGTCAGTCCGCACATCAGGGTTGTTTATAATAGTAGCTCGGTTTCTTTTGTTTGTTGTTTTTTCTTAGGAGGTGTGTTACGTTGAACCGACACAGTATAGTTCATATGGCGACTTTTCAGCTTTTACTGGTGGAGGAAGACCTCAGGTGCCCCTTTGTGAATTATTTTCTTATTATATACAATTATTATACCTAAGTAGAAACAGCGTAGTTTCGTAAGCTTGCTGGATACCTTGCTCACATAAAAGTACCCAAAGTCCCTGTCGGAATTCGGACCCACGGCGTTGAGGTCAATGTCAGTAACCTCTCGGCTACGTATTTTGATACAAGAATCCCTAATATTTCGAATGGACTGTTTTTGAATTTAAAATTGGACAAATCCATTACTTGAATTAAGACTGTAAAGAATAAGATCAAGAATAAAGCCCTTTATATCGTCCTAATAGTTCAGTAGGTATTTCAGTCGCAAGGGAAAGAAAATTGTAAAAGCATAGGGCTCTTTCTTTTTGTTCGTTTGATTTTTTTCCTCTAACCCTCCGATCTTACAAAAATGGTTGATATGACGTTGCGACCGTGCTAAGTAATTTGTTTTTATTTTTTATCCCCATCCAAGATTTTACATTCTGTCCTCGGCTTTTACAGTCGATATACCATAAAGTGTGTATGGAAGTATATATATTTTTCTTTATTCAATAATATACGTAAAAAAATCTGGAAACAAAGTTAACCCTCGGAAGCATTAGTCACAACAAAATTACATGAAAATTGCAGACTCGGTTTGATTGAGTCTGTACATGAGGGATAATGAATAAGTGCAACATCCCCAAGATATTAAACGAAGACATTAAAAAAGTGAGTGTAATGATTTCCTTTTCAATATCATGGAACAAACACTGCAACCACCAAAGTCAACCCGTTTTATGTATTGGTTACGATACTCATGGCGATACTCGTCAGTATCTACTTACCTACGTAAATATCAGTCAATGAATTCTTATCAGAAAATTAAATCTTAAATGTTGTACGTCCTCTCCAAATAAACAATTCTATAATGCTTCCTTTCTAGATTGTGCAGTCTTACGCAACTTTAAAATGTCTAATATGACGAGTTAATGACATATCGTGAGAGGTTAAGATGTTTTACAAAAGATTTCATTAAAATTCCAGACAAAAATGAATTTGATCGAGAGTCTCTCATTAATGATGTTCTATAGATGTTCTGTTTTTGTAACATTTGCATACTTATTAATCTGCTTTTCAAAGCAAATTAATCTTATCAAATCTATAAAAAACGTTCAACAAGCACTGTAAGTTGATTCTTTCTTGTTTTAAATATTTTCTCCAAGGAAAAGTTAATTGTCTGATGAAATTTTCAATTATAAACTTATAACTGCATGGATGTTTGAAGGTTAACTTTCACCTGCACAGAGCAAATTCTAATTACGAAGTTAATAAAGCAAACGTTTTTTGAACATTTTTTGTTGAGGTTTAAGTCGCACTAACACAGTGAATGTCATGTGGCAACTTTCTGGAGGAGGAAGACCGCAGGTGCCCTTCCGTGCATTATTTCAGGCACATGAGTAGAACCACCCACCAATGTCCTGTAATTAGCTGGATAGCTTCCTCATATGAATGAATCTTAAGTCCCTTCGTGAGGGGCAAGTGGTAGGCTTAATCAAACCGATCCTGCAACATTTTCAATTTTGCCGCGTTGGGCTTTCTTTAGGGATTCTTATTTCACTCTATTTGAACATAAGAATTCTTCGAGAGGCAATGTTAAATGTCTCATCCTACAACTTGAGAATGTATATAAATAAACGTTATAATGTTTTCCCTGGTTTAACCCATTTGATATATAGAACTTTCTACAGGTCAAATTATTTCAACTTAACCATATGAGACTCTGTTACCAATTTGTGGATTCGTGTCTCGTCAAACAAATATTACCGTTGAAATGAAGAATGAAAATGAATTTAAGAATGAAAATCATTAAAACTTTTTGCTTTGTTAAATTACATGAAAAAATATCAGATCGTTATACTTGGGTTTAATGCTTAAACTTCTAAAATAGAGAAGAAATCCCTACATGAAGCCTAGCTCGGAAATATTGAAATGATGCAGGCTCGGTTTGATTAAGCCTGTTAATGGTTTAAACACGACAATGTTGAAATTTTGAATTAAAAAACATCCGCAGATGTGCTCATACGGCGGTTATCATGGAACCTTCAATGTGACACAGTAGTGTCATTCCATGCAAAGCGGCGTATGGTCCCCAGGTAAAAGAATGCGTTTACCCTAAACGAACAAACGATGGGGTGGAACTTAATAAAATGCAATTTTGAAAGGGAATCTAAGGTTATGAAGCTTGCATATCACAGACCAGACGTCAAAAGACAAATTTAAAAAGCAGGCAACATATCCTTCGAGTGATTATACAGAATACAAGTAAGAATACGGCAACCAAGATCAAATATAAGGAACTAAAATACCACATAACATGTATACACAGCTGAACGATCCCCAAAGATAAGACTTGCGAAAATGTTATTGCTTTATTTACTTTTACCTGAAATTTTGATATTTATGCTTAATATATAAAGCTATAAAGACATAAATGATAAGCGAGAAATTTTCATCATAGGCACTGTCTTCTTTTTAGTTCCTCTATTATTTCGTTCGGCAAAACTGAAAACGATTTCCAATTGTATCAATGACGTGTACTTTAAATGATACATATTTTAAAACGGGTTTGTTTGTGGTTTTTTTGTTGTGTTTTTTTGTGTTGATTTCTGTATGTTAGCAGTTTATTTCAATTCAAATGTTTACCACTTTTTGAATGTCAATATTTTTCGGAATGTCATTTTGAATTCGGAGCTACTAAAATTGTACAATATGGGGTTTATTGTGGAGTTAAAATATGTCATCCAGAAAGCTGTGTTCAAAACTCCCTCCGGCACCAAACCAGGATGCGCGATTCCTATATCAAAAATGATATGAAAAGGCAACCACAGTATCGCATATCCAATGATAATATAGGTCAAAGTAACGAATACTTTCTTGTCACGTGTAAACCGACTTTCACGTGCAGTTTGTACCTCATTGCCACAAGCAGCTGTATTTTGAACTTGAACAACAGAAACTGAAGGACCTTCATGTGTACTTTGTGCATTGTTATAAAATGATTGTGCTGGTGGTGAATAATTTTTATCAGGTTTAACCTTTAAATGGCTTGCTGGCACTTCAGATGGTGAATCTTTTGTTGCACTTTTACTATTCGCTATACTTTCATTATTTCCAGTTGCTTGTGCATGGGGACGTACAACATCAACAACTTTTGATCTTGTTCGCATGAACAGGAACACGTGGGTGTAACTTAAAATCATTATGCAAAATGGGGCGTGGTGTCCAAGTAATGCGACGATAAAAACAAATTCCTTGTTTAAAGATGGGTCCCAGAAGCATTCACCAGGTTTGCTGTTTCTCAATCGATCCATCAACCATGGCGGAACCCACAGGACTAGCATGAACACCCTGAAAAGGAATACATATACTGTATTTAACAATTGTGATAAAGAAGTGGATAATTTAGTAAAATACCAGAGCCTATACAGACAGGACCAAGTTTGCTGTATACACGTACAATCAAAAGTTACAGAAAAACGATTAGTGTCCTGTTAAAGCTTCCAAAACGTTATTCATTGGCCACTCATTTTGCTTATTGGTGACTTAGTAATTTGCTTAAACGTCAAAATAATGGTTTGTTTATGGTTTGCTACTTTAATGACATAGACATTCAACGCTTCTTTTCTCATGTGATAAGCATTCAACTCTAAAACTCATGTTTGCTCTTTCTAAAGAAGGCAAAAATGATTCGTTTCTGAGGAAAAATGGACCCTTCAAAACGAATTATGTTTACTATTATCATTTGTTTATTTTCTATAAATATGTGATTGCATTTTGATAAAATGATAAAACCGCCAACAACGTTCATCAATCAGACTGAGTAAAAATATAAAAAGATAATGAATTCAATATCGGTCAGGACTGTTTATATGTGTATTAACGTTTGCTCTCCGAAGAGGGCATTCAGCCGCAGGAATATTAGATAAACCGTATTTATTTCTTATAGGAAACGAACAAAAACCATAACGACTAAAGGCCCTCCCATCTTCAATTGAAATTATGGACAAAAGATCTTCCATGAAATTTACAGTAAGAACAATAGCCCTGATATAACAATAGTCAAAACAAATACAAAGTATATTTAAACGTTTTTGTTCTATAACATGTTTATTAAAAGTTAGTAAGAATTCGCATTCCTTTTATATGATCTACAGCTCAACATAATTGTGTATTATCAATAACGGATACAAGCATTAATGTATTAAATTATTTGAACATGGTACATCTGTGAAGAGACCAATTCATTTATTTATTTTGACAATTTGCGACACATATCAACAGTTTTCACTATTTTGACATGAAATTTCATAGCCAGTAGTCTACAATACAAATCATTTAAAATCCTTAGAAATTAAGCAGAAAATACAAATGGGCTATGCTATTATCCTCCCTGAACAAGCCATCGTGTTTTTATGTTACCTTAAAACATTGTCTTTTACAATTAAATGATGCACATCAGATATGATTAAAAATATGTATAAAATGGATAAAAATGTAATAAATTGCAAATCTGTTGTATACTTTACTATATATATAAATTGTTTGTTTAACTGTCAGATTGAAAAAGATAATTTAAGGCAATCAATTATGTTAAAGAGCCATGTGTCTGACCGCTGTCGGTATCTTAGTCTATCCTTGCGACCATTGTAGACCAAGGTCAGCCAGAACATCCATGTCTTATGTCAAAGTCTGGACTATGCGAAATTCAGTCAGTAAATATTTTAAGATCTTCCCAAAACTAATGAATAGAATTGTTCAGATTAATAGAAAGGTGAGTAAATATATTAATATAAGATAATTATAAAGCTTTGTTAAACTAAAATTTCTTACCAAACAAATACAATTGAGATGATACATTTCCGTTTTGTATGATGTTGTCTGTAGTGAACACTCCATTTCACGCTCCAAAACCTGTCCACTGATATCATGTTTAAAGTGAACACCGACACAAATGTCATACCTGAAAGCGAACACCGAAACAAATGTCATATTTATAAGCGAGCACTGTTATAAATGTTCCATGTCTTAAAGTAAACAGCAATATTGATGTAATACCTGAAGCATTTCTACCCTTGATTTAATATAAATGTTTATTAAATATATTAAGATGATCAGACCTTAAGCCATAGCAGTTAACATTAATACGGAAATGCTAAGCTTCAAAAAGAATAAAACGTTGTCGAAAAAAAAAACGTTGTAAAAAGTCATACCAATTTTTATACTAAAAGTATACATATGATTAAGCCTAAAGAATAGCAAACGTAACTACAAGGTCTATGTAACCGCTACAAAACTTTGTTGTACATAAAGTGTTAGTTGAGAAAAGATAAGGAATTTATGAAAGTTTTTTATTGTCCTTTTATAGCCCCATAAACATATTCATTGGCTATTTCTACAAAAATTTATTGTACATGAAGTGTAAGCTGAGAAAAGATAAGTAATTTTATGAAAGTTTTTTTGTATTTCTCTTTATCCTTTTATAGCCCCATAAACATACTCATTGGCTATTTACCTTAACCATCTTTTGCTTTGTGATATTTGCTAATTGGTATGTTTTTGTGACTTATTATTTTGTATATCAAAGGTATCTAAAATGTACTTAAGCTATAACCGGTAATGAAACATTATAAACGTTTGGTTGCTCATTCTTAAGAACACGTTTATTAGTTTCTAAGGCCTAATGTGATTTTAAAAAGGCATTAAGAAAGGAAATGTTAAATGGATTTCCATTTTTTGATGTTTCAACGTTCAAAAGTTTTTAAGGGAGATATATAGATATGAATTTGCATAACGTTCTTATCTTGTCAATAAGCCATTAACTACTCATTTTTTTCACTATGATTGCCTTAATATGTCAACTAGCAGTTCATAAATCATTAGATATCCAAAGTAATTTTTCTGTTAAGTTATTTGGCGGACAAAGAACACACGTTCTACATTAAAATACGTAGATGACAGAAATGTAAGATTACCCATCATAGATTGTCTTGTTGTGATCAATGTCCGTTAAAAAAAAACATTTCTAACAAAAAGGACGAATAAGAGTTAATGACCTTATATCTGGCAGCCAATATTTAATTAAGTAGTACAGTATTTAAGTTTTGGCGCTCTAGATATCTTGATTGAATTCGACTATGTTTCATTATGGACAAAATGTTTCATTGAGTGGCGGCATGGCCGACAGATAAACGCATCAGACTTGATATCTCATGATCTCTAATCATGTTGGTTCAACTTTACTTAGGGATATGCCTTTGTTTCCTTCAATAAAAGACTTTACAATACCTAGTGATTGCTCAGAACTAGTTGGTTCCAGGAACGGATTTAAGAATTTGTCTATAAGCTTATAGCTTCCTACACAATCGAACTCTTAGTAAGATAAATTATCTATAAACTAAAAACAGTCATTATTCATAGGGATTTGTTAAAAGTGTCTGTTGACTGAATAGCGAACAGTGCAGACCTTCATCAGCGGCTGAACTATGTCTGCACGGTTCGTGTGTGTAGAATCCGTTGCGGCGAGATTCTGAAGGCCAAGGTTTCGAAGAATCAAAAGTGTAATATTGTCACGTTTATAATCAACACGCGTATTATAAGTAAGTCAACGGAAGTAGATTCTTTTAAGTGAGTTATCTATTCAATTAACATATTAAAACAATTACATATTGATATTATCATATAAACTTTACAATAAAGAGACAAGAAAAGAAACATTATTATTCTCAAGAGATACCTCCGGCGTTGAATTTAAGTTACACATGTATATCGAAACGAATGTCGCATATGGATGATACGTACATGAGTTGTGAGATCTATTTTAATGCAAGCATGTAGATATCGATGAAATTAAAGAGAAAATTAAGGTAATATTTAATAATCGTAAAATATCCATCAAAGGGATATCATGAAAGAATGATGAAAAAATGCACATTAAAAGTGTGCATGTATAAATGGTTTCATGTGTGCATAAATATCGGCTTGATCATGCTGAGAGCTTCGATAATTACAGTTGAGAGACGTTATGCGATATTCATTTCATTTTATGTCAAAACCAACAAAAATAAACGCACATGCCAGATAAATGTAAATGTGCGTTAAAATTAAATGTTCCAAGATGATGATGTCAGTGAAAGTTTTTCAAATACTGCGTATGCCCACCACATCATGGAAGCGTTGTTATATGTCATAACGTTGTACACAAATTTTAAGAAGATTTGTCAAATCTTTGACAATCTTCGCCTTAACTGAAGTTTTGAAATAATGTTGTCTATTACTTGTTCGTTAACGATTATATAACAGTCTGTCGATTCCAAGACCTTCAAACTGAGGTATTTATCTTATTCAGAAGCAACAGCGAGGGAAACAACAGTCTTATTGAATTTTTGAATATTAACAGCATCATCAACATGATTGACGTACATGTACCATCAAAGTCTCCATTAGACTTTTAGACTTATATGGTAGAAAATACACGAGATTGACTAAACCGCCGAAACAGATTGCTTAGTTCAATATCACATATTAAGTAAACTCACTGCCAAGATGCTGCTAAACTGAGATCAACAGTCAGGATGGACATACTAGGCATTTGAATAATTACCACTTCCACTGTCTGTTTGCAACATCGACTAATCCCCAAAAAACTCCAACACGTGCGTTGATTTCATGTTAAATAAAGTAAATGGAATATGGAATCATATCTCTAGATCAACTACATTTATTGCCAATTACTTCATGACCGAGCCAATATCATTGCAGAAATGGCAAGTGATTTATACAGGCACATTTAAAAAAATTGTAAAAAGTGTACTAAGATAATAAGGAGAATGCCTTTAGAAAGCCTAAAAACTGCATAACTGAAAATGTTGAAGGTTCGTTTTGATTTTGCCTGTTCTTGAATGATGGTGCAAGCAACTGTCAGAGCCCACTTTCATCGGCTTTAGCATTATTCAAAATTCGTATACATTTTTAAATAAAAGAACACAAGATATAAACCTTACCGTAGTCGAAAAATATCCAAAGAGCACATAGAGCTTCTCCAAATGGCCAATACCCTAGGACAGTATGTGTAGCCATAAAACTCATCGCAGTCACGGCAACAGCTACGTCAGTAATCGCCAAATTTACTATATAATAATTAAAAGTCGTCTGCAACTTTTTATTCATTTTTACAGCTATCAACACAAGCACATTTCCAAATATAGTTAAAACTGTAATGACGTATAAAACAATGGCCACAAGTATCTTATCCCAGGTTATAGCATCGTTAGATGAAAATAACAATGAACGAGTTTTATTTGTGATATTATTCATATGTCCGTCATTCATGTTTCAGATATTTTACTTTTCAAAACAGACTCAAAGACTGAATATTAGGAATGTATAGTGTACACTTTCCACGGACAAGCGTTATGCTACTTCAAATATATGATTACTGTCTCTGAACCATCTCATGTTATATACCGTGACGATTCATATTGCATGTCGGTATGGTAAGCCGCTTCACTGCGAATTTATCCGATAATGAAATTCAAAGGCGTTGAAATTCCAAAGAATATCCTCAGAGGAATCGACAAAAATCTATTAATACATAACTACTGATGTATAGTTGCATCTTGACCATGACTAACACTTTAGGGAGTTCTGCAGTTACAAATAAGAAAGTTATGTCTATACGAGGGAAATTAGTTTCAGACTTCATAAAATGCTAAAATTAGCAAAGTCCTTTTAATCATGATCATCTGTTTAATTTGTAATCAGGTGTTCGTAACGAATTAAAAAAATATGGTTATATAATTGCCTAACAGAGTTTCATGAAAACTTAAACGTAAACAAATGTCACAGCTTTGTAGGAAAGACAAGTTATATTGTAATATATTTATATGTATTTTACAAAGATATGTTTTCATTAATAGTGGTAGCCTTTTATTTTCAAACGAGCAACATCATAACAAAAACAGAAACCTGAGTGTTGTAATAATAAAGATAAATCAAATAGCACATATACAAAAGGCTAATGCTTTTTATTGGTTAAAGGGATAAATGTTTAGTGATAAAAAGTTGAATGTAGATGTGAACTTTCATAAATAATGATTAAATACAATAACCTCTTATTGCAGTGAAAATTTTACATCTGTGGTTACTAGTGATTGTAGATCCTCCTCTTTTACATGTTCTTAGAAGCCCTATTAGGACCCCATTGAAGTTTTATTTTAAATGAAAGGACTGGAAATAAATTTTCGATAATAGTGCTCCAAATGATGTAGGTCTACACAAATCGGATTAGACTAGCACAAAAATACGATTTATAATTTATTTCTGAGTCTATTTCTTACTTATGTTAAAAAACTGCATATCGTCCTGTTTAAGTGCCCCAGTACGGATTTCAAATGTTTTATTTTTAGGCTTTTTCACCTCAGTTGAGTTCCCATTTTATCATTTATGCATGAATTACTTTATAAATCAATCATAATAATATTATTGATCAGTAAAATCAAATAAAATATATGGTATATACATTTGGTAATTGGGTTTTAAGGCATTCAATCCCAGACTAGAATTAAATACGGAGACTAGACCTAAATACGAAAAAAGAAAGTTAACAAGTAAATCTCATTATAATGGATAATTAATTTCTTTTTCGTTGAATTGGATCCTAATTAACCTACGTGGCCTTCCGTTTTCGTTGTTAAACTTGTAGAAGTACGTAAATATCTAACTACATTATGTGGGTAAAAACAGATATTCGGTACAATGTCGTTATTAATCTTAATGACATGACATTTGAAAACAACCTTTCCAACAAAAACGCAGACTTTCCAAATCTTTAACAAATTAGTATGTAATGATGGCTGATATGTATCAATGATTCAAATGTTTTATCATTTAAATCAATTAACATGTTACTGAAATGAATGCAAAATGTGTACCAAGACATTTGGCTTTTTTATCATAATGATTGCATACTCTTAGTATTCTTTAGGGAAAATCAAAGATAAGAATAACATGGACGAGATCACAAATTCAGACATTGGAAATTATCAAAACTTCTTACAGTGTTTCATACCAATGGGTCATGTTTTGCGACACGATTTTAAACTTGAAACAACGTATTCGACGGAAATTTTCTTCCGACATGTATATTAATATAGAAAATGGTTGTCAACAAAAGTTTTATCTTATTTGAAGAATATTTAATTTTTAATAACTAAACACCCTCGATGTTGTCTTAAAAGATTTTTCTCACCTTGTATCAATAAATTGAAATAACAATACCCGTCACCTGTGGGAGGAGACAAAGAACCCGTATAAAGTGGTTTCAATATGTATTCCGTAGGCATGTTTTCCGATTTTATTGAATAAATTGGTTTAAATTTAAAATTCATGATAATATGACAATGAAAACTGAAATAAAACTGCATGGACAAAATAGTAAAAGAAAAGCCAAAGAGCCATAAAAAGTTTAAATATTTTATCCTCAAATAGCATCAACCCCATACACAGTGTACTACGCAAGTAATATGCAGAAGGTAATACATAAAATTGAATATCGATTTTTCTTTGAGCGATTTGGAGCTATTTGAGTTAAAGCGTTAAAAGCTTTTCATGTTTGAGTCAATTTTTTTTTCACAATAAAAATAATCATTCTAGAAATGGAGTAAGCGACTTGTTGACAGAAAATTATTTGTCCAGACCTACATCAAATTTTAAACAGATATCGCTAAAATGTTCCAGTCTTGTCATGTAAAAAATGGAATTTCTTTCATAAATCAGTCATTATTGAAAAATGTAATCTCAAAAATAGACCATCTTCACATCAATAAATTCTATCACGATGATGAAAACTAAAAAAGGAAAGAACTGCTTCTAAAAATATCTCGGAAATTGGATATGGCATAAAACGTTTTTAATTATTTGCCACGAGAGGATATTGCGTTAGATCTTTTCATGACTCTATGTGTAAGATCTTTTAAAGACTCTATCATTTGTGCATCTTATCCTTTTCAAAAACCTGTCATGATAATAATTTTAATTGTATTGGTTGTTTTTTTAGAGTTTTACCAAAAGTATCATAGAGTTACTGTTTACAAGAAAATACACACCATTTAAATTCTATATATCCACTGAATGACAAAAATGCACACTTTATTGTGGTGTCTTTCAAATAACCATACTGCATATACATTGTAAAACATCGATTGTTCTATTCATTCAAGGAAAATTTTTTAGAAGCATTAACATGATGCCAATTTTCATTACTTAAAGGGATCCCAATTTTAAACATGTTTTTTTTGTTTATTGAATTTTGGGGCCCTTACAGGAAATTGACAATATTTAGATTTAAAATTTTAAATTAAAACAATTTGTTAAAAACTTTTTTTTTCACATGCCCAAACTTTCAATTTTTAATTAAAAGAATTTTGAAACATAAAACGTTTTTTTCAAGATCCCAAACGTAATACACTTTAAAAGGTAAAAGTATTTTTGCTTTGTAATTGTTTTGCGCGTTAAAATGTCAAATATGGTATTTTCATTAAATGTAATAAGTGCATTTAACTTTACGATAAATTAAAAGTTAAACAAAATTTAATTGCATCAAATATTTCCGAGAGGTACCATAACTTTAGTTTTGCTTATTTTTTCTACTACACTTTCTTTATAAAATTCAACTTCAGGAACTGTTTGACGGGTTCCTTCTTTTGTTGTGAAAATAAAAATCCCTACATTTACCATAGTTATAATGATTGAAAACAGAAATGATAGAAGATTTTAAATTTGAAGATAATTTGATACCGCATTTGTGTCATCAAAACTCTTTTTGAGTTAATTTAAACATCGTTATCTTTTATGAAAGTCTCTTTCAAATAACCATACTGTGTATAAACTATCGATTGTTTTATTATTGAAGAATATTTGTTAAGAAGCATTAAATATTCATGACAATTTACATTGTTTTACATGTTATAAAATTATACACAATGTTTATATGTTTATCGTCATTGGGCCATTACATGGACATTGACAAGACATAAGATGAATTTCAATTTTGATATTAAATTTGTTAATAATTTTATTTACAAGAACAATAATTTTCCCACTAAATGTCCTCTCCAAGATCAGCAAATAATTAACGATAAAGAACAAACATTGAAATTAAATATATTTTTTGCTTTGTTATTGTTTTGTGCAATCCCAGATGTATCATAATTTTAGTTAGTATGTTTATTAAATATACTACCATCAGTTATTTTACTCATGTATATTAAATGTAGAAAAATCTTTTCCAAAAAAAGAAATTTTTCATTCATTTTTATATTCTCCTACCAATACGAGATACAGTGTACGAGTTTTAATTGTCTATTTCTGTTTGTTTTTTTGTTGTTGTTGGTGGTGGTGGTGGTGGGGTTTTTTCCATTGCAAATTAAAAAAAAATGTTATAATTTATGATACTAGTTTATATATTTTCAAAATATATCTTGGGGGGAAAAGACGTCATTGACTCGGTTTACTGAGAAACAAATGACTTTTATTACGTAATCGTTAGAGTATGTTATAGTATCTTAATTTCATCGTAAATGTTATAATGTATTAGTGATTTAGACGATTTAGTCCTGTTAGACTCAAAATATCTATTAAATAAATAAAAGCCTTAAATTTATACTATTAAACCTTTATTGTATACGGGTATATACGTCATGATATCAGTGGACCGAATCTTAATAGATTAAGTCATTCGCATTCTTAAAAGGTACTTACGTTATGCGATAAGACGATGTGTTCAGACATTGTCATAATTGTTGTATATTATTGCATATTGCTTACTATATAACAGCTGGTCGATCATTCTTTCTTTCTTTTTTCTCTTCAAAAGTTAAAAATCTTAATATTTTAGTTAGTAAAGCAATCTTCTCTTCTATTTGATTAATTGCATTACACACTTTACAATTCAACAATAGTCATTTGTACGCCGATTAAAAATGTTGCAGTTTTTTATGATGTTTGTTTATTGAAGCGGTATTGGGTATTATTGAGTATTGTTATGCTATAATAACTCTAAGTAAATTCAGAAGTATCGCTGACTGTAAAATTTTAAATATTCCGTGAAAGATTAATTAGTTTTCATCGAAATTGAGCATAGCGGATTCCAAAACGGAAATCATAAATATGTTACAGGCTCGGTCTTATTGAGCAAGTTCATTTAAGGCACTGGTAAATGCAAATACCGACCTCTGCCCCCCTAGCACCGGCTAATATAAGCAAAAATATATATATATAAATATATTAATCACAAATGGCAATAACATAAACTATATACTGTACACAAAACATTTTTGAACATCAGGAAAAACCTGATTATTGAACAAGATGGCACCTCCAGATCTATGTTTCGTTATTCCCGCCAAGATACTTTCTGCGATACTTTAGTATGATGAAGCAACTCAACAACTTACGGAAATTATTGGTGGCTCTACTCAGGTCCCTTTGTGTCTAGAAATGCACATGAGGCACAGCGTTACCTGAAAATCATGGTGATGTTGCGAAGCTCAGCGCCCCCCTCTCCCCCCTCCCACACAAAAAGAAAAGAAATCACTATTCGAACTCATTAACATTGGGTCGCATCGTCAATATTTCAAGCATGTAATTTAGGTATGACTGGATGCGAAAGGCCCATTTTAAGATTCAATTTTCTAAATGGGGCAATCCTTCACCTTGAGATAATATGCCATAGGTCTGCGTAAACATTGTTCGTCGGTAAGTATGCGATAACCATATTTTCAGATTAACCCATTAAACAGAATAAAGTCCTTGAACATAGCATACAAGAAAGAAAAGGATGTATAACTGAATGAGAGTTGATATCTGACAAAAAAATCTGATGGAAAGCGCGCATTATTTCAAATCGATAATTACTATCAAGATGATGAAAGCTTTAAAGGAAATACCGCTTCTAAATATATCTCTAGGGTTAATTGGATATGACCTAAAATGTTTTAATTATCTGTAGCAAGAGGTAATGACGTAATATTTCTAAATATGTCGATCGCTATGCATTTTATTATTTTCGAAAGCTTTCGTAATAGTTACAAACTGTATTGTGTGATGTTAAAATTTTCCTGACAATTTTGTTTGGTTACTTTTTATTTATTATTTATTTCTTTGGTGCATTCCACTTACAAATTACACATGCTTAAATGTAACCTAAAAATGTTATGATTGTTATCTCTCAAATTAAATATTTTTAATTTGTCTCAAAATAAGTACTCATCATCTGATAGCCTTCGTGTGTTTAGTTCTTATTTGACAAAAATGACAAAAAGGGTGAGTAAGTTTTTTGCAGGAAAATCAAAATTCCACATTGTTTGCATTTTACTACCTCTGTGACGAATAATTTCCCATCCAGTGCTATTTATTTTCAAGTAATAAACATCTTACATGTTCTAAATTCATTATGATTGTCACGTTTAAAACTACTGTTTGTCCTTGCTATTGTTTCTGAGGCTTTATTTTCACTGAACACATCTCTGATTATTTTATACATCAGTTGACAAACGAGCTATAATATTGAAAGTTTTTATTTTCTCTCTAAATAACACTTTGAAGTCGAATTTTTTTTTCCTTTTAATTATAAATCTTTTTTACAGTATAATTAAATAAATCGAATGAAACATTCTTTGTTTATTGCAACACGCCTTTAGATTTGTGTTAATTTTTACTGAGACTATTTTTTTCTTTTTAGGTGTCCTATTACAATTTCAAAAAAGAAGTTACTCACTGGTCGTATAGCTGAATTCATTTTGCTTATGTTTGCATTTTGGCTAGTCATGTGATATTTGGTGCTACTTTTATCTAACATGCTTTAAATCCATGATCTAAACAGTATAAAACATACTTGTTCTTGATACAGATAAGCATAGCCTAATATATACAGTATAAAAAATGTTATAGTAAAGCGAGGCATGTTATCTTACGTCATATCTATATTGGTTCTGTCTGTTAGTTCCAATGTGAAAAGATGTTTTGTTCTACTAAAAATTGAAACATAATGTACAAATAGCTATCATATTGAAGAAAGAAAACACAATTTTCTACATTTTTATTCTAATTTGTTGTTTTTAACGTGACTTCATTATCACGGCTTCTTTCCTGCTCGGACGTCATGTTTTAAACAGGTATAGCATGACATTGGAAATAAAAAGGAGAAAAAGTAGATGTCGGAAAGGAAACATCTTATTATACCGTCAAATGGCATGGCCTGTTAAAACAGCAAATCGAATTTTGCAGCATGTGCAATAAGAACATCAAGTCTAGTATTTCAACGCGTCCACAATGCAGGCAACTTTAATAATTATTATAAATGTCACTTTTAAGAATTTTAATAGTGTGATAATTTTTATTAAAATCAACATATATTGTTTTTTTTAATTGCATGTCTTTCCAAATTATTAATTTCTACCACGGCAACAAAAACTCATAAAAAATGTTATTGTCTGAAAACATCAGTAACTAAAACTAGAATAATTGCACGTTAATGTCATTTTATATTTGTATGTGACATTAAAAGTTTCTGAAAGCCTTGTCAACGAGAACAAAAATGCAATAATGTCTCTGTAAAAGGAAATAATAGAATTCAAATTAAACAGTTATTTTATACGTTGTATATTGATGTAAATTAGTACAAAAGCATTGTTCATTGCTGATAAATAATGTTCAAAATCGCTGTTTGTTCTTTGCTATTAAATTGATTTAAAGGCGATCATTGTTGTAAAATCGTGCTTATAAGATTTGATTAAATCTTTCTCAAAACATTTATTCTTTGCTTTTTATCATTGTTCAGATTCGTTGATCGTTGGTCACTAATAGGATGTATGTCACGAATTTGTCATGAAAAGCAAACCGGAGCATATCAATTGAAAAAAAAAACATTATTGGCAACAGGATACATTTCATTCCGAGGACATTACTCTGTGAGGGAAAAAATCCAATGATTCTTAATGATGCGACTTTATACAACATGGAACAAGTTGGTGAAATGTGCTTATGTTTTGCATTACTTCAAAGTGATATTGATTTTTAGAAAAATATTGTCCTAAAAGTTACAAAAATCGAGAGTCTTGTAGCCGGAATGATATAAAACTCATTTTTGAAAGTGTTACTGGAGATGGCTCTGTAAATTTAAGACCACGATGGGTGACGAACTCCTAAATTGTTCTAATACATCTGGTAGATTTATTTCAACTAAAGTTATTATAACTTGGAATAAGATACTCGTGGCTGTTATTTTATACGCCATTACGTTTGTAACTATATTCGGAAACGTGCTTGTGTTGATTGCTGTGAAAATGAACAAAAAGTTGCAAACGACTTTTAATTACTATATAGTAAATTTGGCGATTACTGACGTAGCTGTTGCCGTGACTGCGATGAGTTTTATGGCTACACATACTGTCCTCGGATATTGGCCATTTGGAGAAGCTCTCTGCGCAGTTTGGATATTTTTCGATTATGGTACATTTATTGTTGTTTTTGTTTATACTCTGAAACTAATTCAAACTTTCAGAGATAAACGTTTTTAAGAGAAATGTAATTTTTTATATTAAGTGTCATTAAATATATATTAAGATAAGGTATGTAGCATTTAGAATTTTGACACTATGACGAATCTGGACCAACAATTATTAATATCTGTTCACTTTAGTCCTTGTTGACTTTACTTATAATAATATACTTTTGAAGCACACGATTTGGCCGGTAATACATTGCAAACATCCTAAACTGGTAACTATATCGTCAGTAATACGGTCTGCTTTGTACTTCTGACATGTGATCATGATAACTAACTTTCATATATGTTAAAGTATGGTACCAGGGTCTGTGTTTTCCTTTCAGGTATGACTTTTGTGTCGGTGTTCACTTTGAACCTTATATCAGTGGACAGGCTTTGGAGCGTGAAATGGAGTGTACACTACAGACAGCATCATACTAAACGGAAAGGCATAATCTCAATTGTATTCGTTTGGTAGGACATTCATTCTCTTATTTAATTGTTTGGAAGCATAATTTCTCCTACACTGTATTTTGTTTTATGATTTTATTAGGCATGTCAAAACAATGGCTGATATTTACGTTTAATATCATGTTTTCATACGAAGAGGAAAAATGTTCATGTAAGTCACATTAATGATAATGATAATTATTAGGGATATAGGTTTTTCACAGCTACATTTATAGGAGTGAAAACTAAATAAATTTATCAGCAAAGAAATGTGATGAAAAGTACATAAATTTCTATTAGTTCAGGATATTTGTTTGTCATTTTACTATTTGTTTTGAATTACGATATATTGTTTTCTCATAGGTTGTTTATGTTGATCCTGTGGGTTCCACCATGGTTAATGGACAGACTAAGGCACAGCAAACCAGGAGAATGTTTTTGGGATCCATCACTTAACAAGGAGTTTGTCTTTATTTTGGCATTACTGGGGCATCATGTTCCTTTTTGCATTATGATATTGAGTTATTTATATGTGTTTTATTTAATGCGTAAAAGATCGGAATGTAAAGACGCCAATCGTTGTCATACAAAATCAACTGTAATTATCGAAAAACTAGAAAAATTTGAAAATGCCTCGAAACAATCTTCTTCAGCGACATCATCAGATGATTCAAGAAGAAGTCTAGAACAGCAAGTTTTACAGCCTCGAATACCTTGTGCAAATGATGCAAATAATCTTGCTACTGTTCATATTCTTCGAAATGCTGATACGCTTGGAAAAGACGTCCAGGAGGTTCGTCGTGAAAGTAGGTTTACTCGTGACAAAAGGTTATTCATAACAATGACCTATATCATATTAGGATATAGTATTTTGTGGCTGCCTTTTCACATTGTGTTTGATGTAAGCATTGCTTATCCCGGTTGGGTGTCGAAGGATGTATTAAACATATTATTCTGGATGACGTATTTTAATTCTACGATAAATCCGATATTGTATAACTTTAGCTGCTTCGAATTCAGAAAGACGTTTCGAAAGATCTTTATAAAATGTAAAAGTAAGTGAGTTTTAATAACTTTTAATGTGACACATATTCTGGACTTTCTTAGTAACAATCTCACATACACTGATGTACAATTGATAGGACCCCTAGAGTGCCTTTTAATTATAAACTTGACGTGTATTATTTATTGTACTTAGCATGGGAAAAATATCATTTTAGCAGAGGTTTGTTTTAAGGACTATTGATGAACAAAAAACTAATAAGAAGTGTGTGCAAGATATCATCGTTAATTAATTTAAGTGGAAAAGAGTTATTTAATTCTTTGGTAGTGTGTAGTTTTTGCTCCAGTAGTTTAATTGAAAAAACCAATGAAACTAGAATATAAAAAACGAGATCAACAAGGAAGGATGCTATTCAATAAAGATATCCCCCAAACACGACCCAGCCACACGGAACTACCGGCAAGGAGCCCGGGAAAAACGTTGATAATAGACATGTTAATACAAACTACACATAGAAGAAAACATGTACTAAAAAAGGTATTTGAAAATTGAATTAAAAGTTTCAAAATAAAAAGTGAAAAGACATTGTTGTTTGGATAGAATTATTATAAAACATATGTTGTAAGTTTAATTTAATCTTCTAGTATTATTTAATTTATTGCTAATGTTTAATAATTATATAACTGAGTTACTCCCTTTCTTCGAAATCAGAAACTAAATACTTTACGTGATGAAAACAACACTTATGCCATACTTTGTTTCAGAATAGTTTTCATTAACAAAATAATGATAATTTCACCCCCTGAGAATACATAGAACAGTTTATATCAATTAAACAGTGCATTAAATTATGCTTTTGGAATGTAAAGTACAGAAAACGTAGTTCTTGTTAAACAAAAACATCTGACACAATATTATATCAATGCATTTTGTGAAACTCAGGTACTCGTATGTAATGATTAAGAAACAGTAATCTTTAGGTCTTTTTTTAGCATTCTAAGTCGTGATGTTATGATCCAAAGGTTATCGATTCTATCAAATCGGTAAGTTTTGGATCATATTGTGTTTTGATTAGCCTTTTTTACCCTGACAATGATTACACACCTACACATTGTTGTACAGCGTCCACCGGATATAACCCCTCAAAAGTCCGAAAACGAAAGTAAAAAGGTTTACGTCGAGTTCACCCAAGGTAATGTTTCAACTTATTTCTCCATCATATCTCCATCGATTTTTCCAAACTAAACAATTTTGTGAAGCTAAATATGTCAGGGTTTAGGGCAGTAATCGCTTTTTTCTGCAAATTAAATACATTTTGTTAAATCGGCGATAAATTGTGCCGTTTTGTTGACATTTGCGAACGATGTTGATATTTACCTGTAAATCGGGTTCAAAAGGCATTTGTTGTATCAAATTTTTGAGGGGCTATATCCGGTGGACGCTGTACAACAGTCGTATAAAAAGTACAAAACGACCAGATGTACAATGGAAAACTGTCTTACATATATGCATAAATAATTTTTAAATACGAAATTTCACAATTTTCATGTTTAAATTAAATGGTTAATTCTGCTTACTGGTGCTAGGTGGGATGGAATGAAGCTTGCAATGTCTTTCATTAAGAGGTTTTATCAAACCGAGTCTGAGTATTTTCAGTTTAGCCGTTTAGGGCGTTATTTATGGATTTCGATTTTCTCTATTTTACAAAACGGCCACTACCTAGGCCTTTATCAAATAAAAATATAATATCTAAATACTGTATATGTTTTGAAATGTTCGCTTAAATTGCAGAATTGTTTTGTGCACATGACAAAATGTCAAATTTTGATATTTAAGGGACTCTACTGGGTTATTGTTTAAAATGAAGTGACTTGAAATATTCCTTTGATAACTTGTGTACTTACTTGGTGTTAGTTTAGTAAACTAATAACTTCTGTGGAAATTTCGGATCATTCCTTTACTCCTTTTCCACAGAAAAAAAATATTTGCATTGAACAAAATGACCATAAAATGAAAAGCGTTGTCACTGAAAACGGGTTAAAAATCGTGACAAAAATCGATTTTCAATTTAACTGTAAGTATTTTTTCTTTATTATCCTTTGCTGACTTCTCCATTTTAAATGCATCACTTGATCTATGGCAGAATTTTAAATTTTATGTTTTAAGGGTATTGACCTCAGTGGAGTGTGGTTATGGTTATGAAATGGTCAGGATTATGAAATTTAGCAGATCATGCACCAATGTGAACTGAACAGAAAGAAAGTACACAGACAAACATTACGCCATTTCAAAACATTCAAAGACAAATAAACATTAGCAATATCTGAGTGGCATGAAATTAAACGGAAATGTTAGACAGAGAAAATCTTAACAGAAATGATACTGCGACGTGCGAATATATTAAACAACTAATTGTGTGAACTACAAACTCTTCTCAATACTCATTAACGGACTGAATTTTAAAGAAAGGCAAAATATCTCGGTCGGATATGAATGCTGTTATCGTTATTTTTAGTTATTTTTTTTTAACAATAATGACCATGAAAACTCAATGTTTCAGTTCATAAGAGGTCATAAAAACGAATCGGTCATATGATATGATTGATTTATCAAATATGTTTTGATTGGCTGCAGCCATGTCAACTCTCTGTAGCTATGATTCTAAACATGAATATCATTACTATCGGTTATACAATTTACTTAAATATCTCAATCTTTTACTTTATATATTGTACACGACTTTTTTGAATTTCAGCAAAACACTTTGTAAGATTAAATGACTTTTTTTAATTCAGAAACGTGAATAATTTATCAATACAACCAATGTGGTTTTTTTTAATATTTAATTACTAAACGACCTTATAGTAAACATATAAAATCAGATTATTAGCCCGACGCATTAATCACTCAGTCACGCGGCCCCTGCTTGATTGCCGGTCGCGTGGGCTCAAACCCAGTCAGTAGAAAGCTGCTTTTTCATTGAGTAAGAATAGAATCTTTACGCTCATTGTCTGGAACTTGTTGCTTCAGGGAATGGATTCGGGAGTGTTTCAATAAGCATAATCGAAAAAAAATAAAATATTATAAAATGAATGAAATCATTTGAATGAACGTGCTACACGCTGGATTGTTATGAAGATAAATAAACACTACTGTAAGATAATTAAACACAAAATATTTTTGTAACCAATAATTTGATAGCTGATAAGACAGAATGTATTTACATAGACAAATGATAATATTGCCGTAAAAAGCAATAACATGTTTTGTTGGTGACATTAGATGACTCGAATGATTGTGCTGTTTGTTTTACTACAAAATTATTAATGAGAAAAAATACTTTTTCTTAGCACAGCTGCTGTCAATTTATTATTTAGTTATTATTTATTTGCGTCAAAGATATGTCTCTATTACTGGCACAGATTTTAGGCATTTTTTTTGCAATGAATTTAACGAATTTTCAAACAAAACAATTTCTTTTTCTCAAAGATTTCTTAGCAATAACATGAGCTATGTTGAATGATGCATCTCTCTCTCTCTCTCTCTCTCTCTCTCTCTCTCTCTCTCTCTACGATTCACGTCGTCGGAACAGAGGTGCTACCGAGTCTACGGTTGACACGTCCAGAGAGCCCAAGACTGCTCGAACAGGTTTGGAGAAAAAGGGAGCATGATCCTGCGGGCGGGGCACGCACGACAGGATTCTGCAAGGGTCACCTGCAATGATATAGGCATCGCGTCGAGAGTAATAGACCAGACCGGAGAGATGCTGAAGGCAGTTGCACCTTGCCGCGGGACCCTTGCCTCGGGGCTGTTCTAACTCCTGCAGAGGTGCGACTATCAGATGTATCATAAGCCCATAGCGTACTTGCAGCTCGTCCCTACCCTAAATCGGACGCCGAGAGAAAACAATGCGACCGGATGGCCGTTCTCACCCCGTTTGCTCTGCCGTATGGGGAACGGTCTCCGCTCCCTCCCTCACCCTCCCTCCCCCTCCCTCCCTCTCTCTCTCTCTCCCTCCCTCCCTCTCTCCTCTCTCTCTCTCTCTCTCTCCTCTTCTGCCCCTCTCTCTCCCTCTCTCTCTCCCCCTCTCCCTCTCTCTCTCTCTCTCTCTCTCTCTCTCTCTCTTCTCTCTCCCTCTCTCTCTCTCTCTCTCTCTCTCTCTCTGAAAAATTTAATTATCTGCCTGAACAAAAAGGAACACCCTGGCTCTGACTGACTGCAACTAAAAAATTCTTACTAAAACCGGTTCTTGTTATGCTTCAAAATGCTGAATATTATTTTTCATACCTTTTAATCATTTCATAATGAACAGGACGTTGTTGTTTTTTGCTGTCATTTTTTTTTTTGTTGTTGTTCTTTTTTTCATACTTTCGAATCTAAATTTCATATTACATTTTATTCATGTGTCACGTACTATTTTATAATTTATAGTAATTGATATAAAAAAATGATACAAAAATGTTTGTGCCACGCGGTATGGATTACGCTAAAATATCATGTAAAATAATATTTTACCTTTATTCAGAATATTCGTATCGATTTGACTGTGTGCATTGGATTTAGAAGAGTTTCATTACTAATATTTTAAACGATATACAGTATGATTTGCAGTAAGAATGTTTATCCACATGTCCACACTTACACTATAATTATCTATCTCCTATTTTATTTTAAACATATTTTTATTACATCAAATACATGTTTACAAAATATCATACAAATAATGAGTATATATCAAAAATGCATTTGGGTTGGCAAGCAAGTTCTTAAGCCATTCCCAGAAATCAAAATATTACAAGAATA